ACGTCTGTTGCCGGTCGCGATGCGAGCCGCCGCTCGATTTTTACGTCGCCCCGGCGCGCTGCCGTATCGATTCCTTTCGGCCGCCGTCGCGCGACGCATGATTTCAGCGATTCGGATTTGCTAAATTAACGCATTACGGGTTAGTTTGGTTCGTTTCTCACAGTGTATATGCATTTGTTTGCGTTGAATATTTTTAACCCTTCGACTACCGTTGGCGCCCAGAAACCTTTTCAAAATGGATTTCGAGAGACTGTTGTTTGACGATTCCATACAGAATATAAATAAATAAATAAATAATTAATATTGAAGTAATCATAGCACCGAATTGCCCCAGAGTAAGTCAATATTATTTACTTATTTATTTATGGATTTACTTATTTATTTAATTGTAGTTTTAATTGTACGCCCAATAAGATCTTCCAAAAACTAAAGTACCTAATTCTATTTATAGCAAATTTTTCTCAAAAAACGCGGCGAATGAAGAAAATTTATCTACGGCCCACAGTTGGTTTATTAGCGGTCCAATTAGAATTTCAACATGTACGATTGCTTTTAGCCGCGTTTCAATAATTTCCGAAATTTCTTTGTTCGACGCACGGCGAACAGGAAATTATTCATAGCCCACATGCGCGCTAGTAGAGTGTTTGCAACTACGTTGAATAAGGGTATTGCGATCGGCGGGGTGTTCGGGAGCAAATCGAAGAGGGAGAAGGAAAGTCAGATTGCCGCATGGGTTTCCGAAGGGTGCGAGGAGAACGAGAGAAACGACGGTATAGAACAAATTTGGTGGATTTCCATATAAATTTGCTGGCCACGAGCGACATACACGCCGCTCGCGGAAACAAGTGATATCGTGCGGCTATATACACCGGCGCAGTGGCAGCGGCGGGCTTTGTGTGCCGCCTTCGACAGCAGTTGTGCTGCGACTGTTATTAGATCTATCAATAAGTAATCCACTATTTGTTTTAACAAACCAGTAACGCGTTTCGAAGCCGAAATTTTTTTCCGCTGTTTTTTTGTTTGGCCTCTTTTGAAATTGAGAGCCGGTTTCCGGCGCCGGGGACGAATATTAATCAAACAGCGTAGGGGCTTTCGATCATTTTTGGAAAAAAAGGGGAGACAAAGTTCGACAAGAAATAGCGGTCCGTTTATTAACTCTTTGCGGTTGCTGTACCGGCGATTTTTGATCTTCTATATGTAAAATTGAAAACTGCCAAGGAATAATTTAACCAGTTATTTTTTATTTTTTCAGATAAACATGTAACACTTCTTTGGTTTGCTTTGGTTTTTCATTGAAATATACTCTAGGCGCATTCGTTCTGCGTTTGACGAGCACGTATCGTTTTTTGATTTGATTGCGAAACGAGAGATTTTTGGAACTAAATTCTACAGTTAACGGGTTAATTATTCAACTAACCAGAGACTGACATGTGATTTTCTTTTAGTATTTAAGACTTCGATGCATCATTAAGTTTCTTACGAACAGAAATGTTAGAAGTTTAACCCTTTTATTCCGAATGAGATACGTGGGCACCAAGAACATTTTAAATTATCGGAAAGCTAGAAAACGCCTAGATAAAGAAAAATTGTAACATACGGGGATCTTTGCTTATGACAGCTTAAGTGCTAATTAGTGTTATTATTGCTTATCTTATGTCTTTCACTGAAAAGCTTCAATTTCCTCTATACATCAAGTCATCTCCCACCAGTAAGCCCGTGTCGAAAATCCGATTATTCAGATCCCAGCCAAAGTGTTAACCAAACCCGAAAACATCATCCACTAACATCATCAAAGATCGTTATTAATTAATTAAAGATTACAATCTACTTCTGATTTCAGCACTCGATGTTATACTTCTTTCATCATTACGAGCTACCTGTGATCATGCAACAGGCACAGTTGCAGCACCTTCTCTTCCATAATAACCGTCAGCCTGGGATGGCTGAGCCGTCAGCTGAACTCTCAGCCGAACATTCGGTCGAACCATCGGCTGAACCTTCCGCCGAACCTCCAACCGAACCTTCAGCCGAACCTTCTGTTGAACCGTCGGTCGAGTCGCCGGTCGAACCCACGAACAGGACGAGCCCGACGCTCGATAATCCTTCGTCCGCAACGGAATCGTTCCAAATACGAGAACCGCCGTCGTTTACCAGAGTATCCGACGCGACGGAGGAAGCATCCCTTTCGGGTCCGGCGCAAGTCCCCTCGGATCTTGCCACGTGCGAAGTCGAAGACGAAGATCAAGCCGGAAGCGCGGATGAAACGTCGCGCACGGAGCAAAGCGATGAAGGTATGATCTGAATATTTTTGTCGTTATTCGGTTGTAATGTACAGGGTGTCTCAGGGTGGTACGAGGTAATTCTAATAAACAAAAAGAGTTGAAAATGGGAAATAAACTTTTGTACTTCGTTCGTCAGACAATCGATGTAGAACGTTTTTCTCTGAATTGATTCGTATTAGATTGAGAGATGCTATATTAATTAGTATCTGTTACTTTTGTTGTTAAAGATTTATTTTTGTGAAGGGATAGAAGAAACTTAATCAGAATTTCTGAGACATTTTTGGTAAAAATGATTAGATTATAAATTTATTATAAATGTATTTATTGTACTATGTATAGATTTATTATACAAAATTTAATAATTGTTTAGTTTCAGAATACATTGGTCTTTTTATTATTGACGAATTTGTGAAAAGTGACAATTTTTGATTTTGTTAATTATTAATGTTGACAACGTTCCTTTCATTTCGTTAGTTTTATTAATATATTTATTATTATAATTGTTCATTTTCGAAATGCTCGCCTTTTAAAATGCGTTGCTTTATTAATTTCCGGCCTGAAGTACCGCAGACGCGGTAAAAGTGCATTTAAACAGGGTCTAATTGAAATTATCATTTGAGTCATCCCTGTGAAAATACCTTTTTAACGTTTCCCCGGACAGTTTGTGTTTCGAGTTGCAGCGAAACGATTCGCACGGTTTGAATCATTTTACAACGTCGATTGTACACTTTGTAGATCTTGTAACGCCAACACTCGTCAGTCTAACGCGTCAGTTCCGGGGATTGTTTGGCATACGATACCTTTGGATCGCCTTTCTGTTACCATTGCCGAACAACCGCCGATTATTTTCCGCGTTTTTAATTTCAAATAGCCCTGCTTTCGACAATCCGAGCTATCGATAATCCTTTTAACAAGGGAAACTGATATGTCAAAGGATTTAGAGAATTTAGAGTGGCGGTCTGACCTCAATTTGGAGTGATTGTTATTTGAAACCACGCATTATTCGAGTAATTGTTTATCCGCCGGCCATTCTAGTAGCTAGATTATTGAGAAAGAAATTTTTAACGAGCTTCGGATATTTAATTTGAAATTGATTGTACAAAACTGCATCTTTCTCTCATTTATCGTGATAGGTTAAATTACCTGTTGGTTTGCTTTTGTTTTCTAAAGAAGAATTCAGTGTGCCTACTTTTGACCTAATCAATCGACGTTACAAGAATTATTCATACTATTTTAAATTTAATTTGCTCACTTCAAATGTAAAATTCATTTACATCGTATTTTAAAATTGAAAGTTCTTTTCTATACATTAAACTCTCTTTTTTTATTCAATAATTAATCATTATAGGAGAAAGATTTTTTCCAAAGTGTAACTATGTTGAAAGAAAGGAGTATTAATCTATCCCGCATCTGAACGTCGCAATTGGCTGTTGGCAACAGGCGGATGGCAAAGTAAACCAAATTAAACAAAACCAAAATTCTTTCACCAGCACATACTAACATTCTACTAGCAAAAACAAAAACATCAGCAACGCAAAATCCGAAAAAGTTAAAATCAACTAATTCCTCTAAGAAAACAGTTTCGAACGCTTTGAACATCTGAACGTCGCATTGACTGTTAGCAACAGATAGGCCAGCGACGTCAGACGCGGATCCGGGCACTGGCGCGGAAGCGGAATCGGAATCGGTCGCCGCGATATCGGACAGCGGCGGTTCCTCTTCCTCGGACGCGGGAGACAATGGATCGTCGATGGATACTTGCACGTCAACGGCGGGCTTTGAAGTGATCGAGGCTGCGGAGGCGAGTCGGAAAGAAATGGCGTCCTGTCAGGACAAATAGGAAAGCTGAGGCGCCTCGAGCCACGCCAGTCGTACAAGTGGATAGCCCGGAAAGGAGAGGCTGTCGTCTCAGAGCGACTGGATCCGCGGAGCGGAGCGTCTCGGGGCTGAACGATCTTCAAGCTCGCGTGCTACGATCGGGGTAGGCTGGTTAGGGGTTATCGTTCATCGTGGACCATGCATCGGGTAAACGCGGAGCCGTTTTCTTTTTCAATCGCATCGATACCGCTGCTGCCGTTAGGGAAGCTCGTACTTCGTCGGCCCAAGGTGGCCAGGTGTTAAGTTTTAACGAGTAACCGGGGAACAGGGGTGAAACGGGATAACTGGTAACTGGATTTCATCGTGCGCGGGACCAGACAGGCTAGCACCCGCCTAACGGTTCACGCATGCGATATGTCGTGCTCCCGGGTGACGAAAGACGAAACTCTGCTGGGTAGGACGATTCCTCGCGGCCAACCCTCGAAATCTATCATTGAACACGTTTGTAGCGAGGTGTGCTAGTAGCTACTCTTGCTGATGGTTTCATGAATGGTCCTAAAGATAGGATTTGATTATTGAAATCTATCATTTGGAGTGAGGTGTGCTAGTAGCTACTCTTGCTGACGGTTTCAATGAATGGTCCTAAAGATAGGTTTTGATTATTAAAATCTATCATTTGGAGTGAGGTGTGCTAGTAGCTATTCTTGCTGACGGTTTCAATGAATGCTCCTAAAGATAGGTTTTGATTATTGAAATCTATCATTTGGAGTGTGGTGTGCTAGTAGCTACTCTTGCTGACGGTTTCAATGAATGGTCCTAAAGATAGGTTTGATTATTGAAACCTATCATTGAACACGTTTGGAGCGAGGTGTGCTAGTAGCTACTCTTGCTGACGGTTTCATGAATGGTTCTAAAGATAGGTTTTGATTATTGGGTTTTTAATGATATTCAGGGATAATGGGTGGAATTTTCATGATAGACTTTAAGGTTCAATGAACGTGGTAGAACTAATCGAAGGATAATCTTATGATTGTTACAATTTCGGTACAATATCGGTGTCTTTGGTCATTAGGTTTTTTATAATATTCAAAATTGTGATTTTACTAATGATAGATTTTGAGGATTAATGGACAGTTTAAAATTGATTAAAGACAGAAACATTACCACCATTGCTACGTTGATAAACTGAGTGAGTCCTGTTCGAAATGCAGAGTTTCGAGATTAAATTCGTCCCAGAGACGTCTGTTGGTTCCGTTTAGACGAAGAACGAGCTTTCCTTCGGGGCACTGATCCCATCGAGCATTTCGTACCATTTTTAGCCGTTCAGACAGTGGGTGAACTTGTTCCGTATCAAGCGAAACCGTCAACGGAGTTTTAATCAGGGCCGCGTGTCGCGTCGTCGGTACCCGGGAATAGCGTCCACTGGCACCGTCAGAGGCGGGGACACATCGAACGCGAGAAAAACAGGGGCGCAACAAGTTGGACCGTTTCCAGCGAATATTCCTTCTTTTCTATTATTTGCTTGCCACGCGTCGCGCGGATGATCCCCTTCCGCGGATTGATCTCGGCACGATGAACGACGGACCATGTGCAGTAGGGTACGTCATCGCTGAGCCGCGTCACCTTACCTTCGTCTCTTGCCCTCCCTTTCACACCCGAGTTCTGTTTATATAGAACGGTGCTGTCCACCAACGAATTTCCACGCATATCCTTGCAAACCTTTTCGACAAACAAGTGCTGTGAAAAGTGTCCAACGTTTCACACGTTTATAGACTGTTGAAATGTTCTTCAACGAGTCATTCGTTTCATTCAACACTAGAACTACTGAACGAGCCAAAATGAGCCATTCTTGATTTCTTCTTTTTGCAATTATTAGAAAGATAACAGATGTTTCTCTAAGAAATTTAAAGAAATTGATTACGCGAATTTGATTATCAATCAATTACAGTCTCGGTAGATACACTCTTGAAGTTTCTATAGAGAAATTTCAAAAAGTCAATTTAGCTGCTCGGTAGTTTCAGCGTTAATGATTTTAACGATAGAACTACCAGGAGGGTCAAAATCAGCCATTCTTGAATTCGCCTTTTATAGTTACTGAAAAGATAACGGATGCTTCTTTGATTAGAGACATTAGCTTGGTAATGCGTAAACTGAATTATGAATCAATTGAAATCTCAATGCTCTGTTGGAGTTTCTGCAGAAAAATCTGAAAATATTCATTCGATTCTTTGGTGGTTCTAGTGTTAATGAAACGGGAACTGGAAAGTAGAAACTGAGCGAGGAGACTTTCACTAGCTTCTTGCGTTTCATGGGTTCTAACGAAATTCAATTTATTTTATTATCGGGAAAACTGATTTTTTAATTTAGAATAATTGTCTTTTCTTATTAACTAGTTTGGCAATCGACGTGTAACGTTATATTTTAGCGTTTTTTAGGAAGAATATTTCAGAAAAATACAGCGTGGATATCGTAAACTGCTGCCTGGTGCTTATTAAGGAAAATAATTAATTTCCATCGGGCATGTTGACGATCGGTGTCTGGAACTTATGTGGACAGCACTGTTCTATATCGTGTTCCGGTATAAATGGACTGCGGATTGCATACATTTGTAACATGCACGATAATGGTTTCATTTGAATAAAGTAAGAGGATCCCTGTGTGATTTTCGGTTTCTGTGAATTGACCGTCAAATATTTGAATCTGCGTAAATATCCGCAGTCTAATTATAACAATATTTTGTAACTTCTAGAATTCGGAGAGCGATTCTTCTGAATTGACCAATATCATCGCTGAAGTTACAGTGATCAATCGATAGTACACTTTATATTTGCGTATATTTTTTCCAATTAACACACTACGAATATTTTAGAACATATGTGTGTGGTATATCGTTCAGAAAAAATAAATATAAGGAACAGCATTCGTATAATTTTGTCTTTTTTTTAAGTTACATATGCTAATGGTGTTCCGTGTAGATATTCTCGAAAGAATATACAACGTACACGTGAACTGAAATACTCATGTTTGTAATTTGGAAAAGTAGAAAGTATCAGGTGTGCTATTTTGTTGTTGATTACTACGAAAAAGGTGGAAGAATTACCATCGAACAAAAATAATCACTTTTCTGATACACCTTTTCGGATGATCGCAAAATTAACTTTTGCTCTTTCCTCCCTGAGAATACCTTGAGAATAAATTTTTAATATGTCAGACTAGATTGCATTGCGGATGCTTTTACAAATTCAGATTTTTGGATACTACTTTGTAGAAATGGAAAATCGGCACAATTGTTTTTTACGAGAATCTCTTAGAGCTTCGGAGTAAAATCGAATCACTGCGATGGTTTACTCTTTTACGTTCGATACATTACGACGTGCTATGAATGCATTAAATCTGCGTGATTAACCCCTTGCCTCTTTCGGCGATCGCGCTGGTCGAAGCTACCGTCGACTAGTTTCATTTTTCATTCGATTGTTGTCGGTTGTTGCCTACGATCAAAGGAAATTGTCAACGGTCGCGATTGATTTGCTAATGATAATCACCAATCATTGATTCCTCATTCATAATGTTCACTAATCTTCAGTTGTTAGTTTTTTATAAAAATATAATACAAATTTTGTTCTTACACGTATTTTTTGCAAATACTTCGCGTTAGAGTTAGTTTCACCAATTATTATTTTAACTTTGAAGTTTAATGGAGAAACAATAAAAATCTAGTTCGGTAGGTAATTGTTAAATTAATTGATAATTAAAAGACTAATTTAATCATTAATTGTGAATCACAAATAATTCAATGTTTCAATATTTAATATCAGAAGAATAGAATCACGTTTCGACTTGACAAGAATGAACAATTTAAAGATTTATCGCATTCGGTTCACAACTTTCACTCGCTAAGGCAAGGGGTTAAATATCTGAAAATTTTTAATAATCAGAATACACGGAATTGTTAAGTTTCTTTTAAAACAAAGAGAGATTACCTAGAATTAGTGGGCTTGAAGTCTCTGTCAAAGGAATTTTATTATTAATGTAAACAGCAATGATACGATTGGATAAATTGAACAGTTACGATATATAATTATCATAGAAAAGTGTACATAAAAGTAGATATATAATTAAGGAAATTATTTAATGAATCGAGAACACACGGTTTTCAGGTTTGGATTCTGTTACATAAATTGTATTATTGTTGTATTCGTATACGTTAGGTTTAATATGTTCTTTTTCTCTTTTTATTGAAAAAGGTGTAGGTTTTATGTAAGAAGAAAAGAATCTAAATTAATTTCAAAGAGATTTACGATCATTACAATTGTAAATGTAAATAGACTTTTAAAGTTGCTTGGTTGTACGAGATCTACCTATCCTTTTCTCGTTCAGTGTGAAGTATAACTTTTAATTAATATTAAGAAAATTCAATTCACACAGTGTTCTAATTGCAATTAACAAAAGTTTCATTCTCTGAACGAGATAAACCGATCGGTTTATGTTTCATATATTTTTCTTTTATTACGCACCTACTTACTTTGTGCAAGGGTTTGAATATAACATGGGTTCGTTTACGAGAAATAAAATTGTTCGAAGGTCGTTTAATTAATTTGGTTCCCAGAAGATTAACGAATTTCTTTTCTCACTTCATTCTTTGTCTCAATTCTCATATTAGAATTCTAGGAGCAGGGAAACGAGGGAATTTAGAAATAAAAGTTACGACATAAATGAATAAAGGTAATTCAACAATTTTAACAATTATTATATTACAAATATGTGAACAAATTTGTAAATCATTGTAGGTAAGTGAGAATATAATAAATAACTTAAAGTAAACAGTCGATTTTTTAATGCGACATGATTTTAAGAATTTCAACTTTTTTTTTTCTATATACCAATGAACAGAACTCCTTTAGGTCACTTTGCAACAATCGCTTTCCATTCAGTTAACTGTCAGATGGCGGAATCTCTTAAAAGGTAAATAATAACGTTCTATTTCTTTCGTTTGTGACTGGATTTTTTAACTGTATATTAGGAAATGAATTTTGTTATTACGTTTCGATTAAAATTTAATTTCTAATAGCTTTGTAAAATAAGCCAATAACATTAATCATAATGCATAACAAACTAATAAATCTTTCATGTAAAAACAATAAAATACGAGAAGTTATGAAACGAATATATTACTTATTATTTATTTAGTAGTTGCTGATTTCAGCCGAACACGATACGTTATATCATAGTACCAAAGGTGATTTAAGACTGTCGAGGTGAAATTATTAAAAATTAATTCAACTCCGTCGTCCGATAGTTAAAAGATGAACGTTTGTCCATGAACTTTCTTAACGGCTAACTTATTTAACATTCATTTTTTCGAGCGCGGTTCGTCTTCGTGTTTGCTCGAGAGGCTACGTCTTTGTACAGGATGTTTACGTTGGTGGCCAGTGTTTCTCTCGTAAATGGTAAATTTAAAGAAAAAATTAGACAAGTTCCAATGTTTTTTTATAACCAACCTAATAAGGTATGCAAAGTTTTTTACGTTTGTAATATTTCTTGAGAGACGAAGGTGATTTCAATGTTTTAAATGATGTAATATTGTACATTCTTTTTATGCGAAGGTAATTTTTACTTTACAGAATGTAATAATCTACAAGGTCGTTAAAGGTCAAGAATAAAAGAAACAGTGAGATCAGGTACTTATTTGATAGAAAGAAAAGTCGAAGTTTTTAATGAGAAAAGTGTAATTATTTTATACTTCTATATAACATTTCAGTATTCTAGAATATATCAAGTTTATTAATCATAATTATAGAAAAATGATAAGATTACAATCCTTAACCTTTATTTTTTTAAATTTATCGTTTCCAGATGTCTTAAAGATTTCTTTATTGAAACAACTTCTCTTCTTCTTAATGAGAATTTTATTGTAAAAAGTAATTATCCGACAAAGGTACGAAGGGAATATTGAAGATAAATAATTTGAAGTGGAAAAATCTTACGATTCGTATAACATAACAATACAGCTTGTCGAACTAAAGGACAAACAAGACAATACAACGTACAAAAGGACTTTAACAAAGCTGCTAAAGTCATGAAACACTGATGTCTATTAATTTTATTTTATTTCATAAATGGAATATTGGAAATGTATAATTAAATTAAATTAGATAAAAATATTGATTTAAAAATAGATGTACATACTTTTTGAGCTGTTTAATTATATTCACAGATCGTTCACGCTCAAATTCTATACACAGTTTTTCTATCCGTTTGAAAAATGACAGGTCGCGCCTTCGTTTCGCTGAGAATATTACAAGCATAAAGAATCAGCACACGCCATTGTATCGATTATGAAAGACATTAAAAACTCCCCCATTTCTCCCGCGCACTTACCATTTACGAGGAAACAAGTGGCCAGTAACCGCGCGTACACCCTGCATAGCCGGCATCGACTCCGACCGAACCGTTGTAAACAACCGTGCACTTCATCGAGAGCATTTCATTCGCGTCTCGCGGCCAGGTCTCTCCTCCATTGTCCTTAGGTTTAATTAATTAAGTCGCTTAGCTGGTAATTTAGCTCGCGGTAATTGTAGTGCGGTAGATGTGCCGGTATCGCGAACAAATTTCACACGTTAACGATCAAAACGACGACGGCGGTGGTGTACATTGCGAGCGAGCGTGGAAAGGAAACGGAGGGCGGATCGCTTTGAATCGTCGAGAGAGAACGGATCTCTGCGTTAACACGTTGACCGCTACGAGAATCTTAACTGTTTTCTATATCACTTATTCTTTCGTGACAGAAATAAATAGGGTAAGTCGGGGAGAGGTGGTTCAATTTTTTCGAGAGAACTGTTGTATCTGAAAAAATATATTTCTGAAAATAAATACATATAAGAAGAATAGTTGATTCTTCGTAGTCGAATGTCTTCGAATTTTCAAAATCGAAAACTGCAAATGAATTTCATTATTCGTATAAAAGATTGATACGTTTTCTTTTCTATTTAAGATTCCGATATGTAATTCAATTTTTTATTAAAAGGGTTTTTAAAAGTTTGACAAGTTTTCGTTCATTAAACAGGTTTCTGTGCAAGATTCAGTGAAGATAATCGAAGGTATAAATATTTTAATTTTGATGAGATCGTGCCATCTCGCCTGGAATTACTCTATTGGGATTATTAAGGATTTGCTATCACAGTTCTTACACTATTCTCTCCTAGGAGATAAGGGCTGAGGAATTTGATTGATCTTCATTTTTCTCACCCTATTTTTTGTCAGTCTTAGTACCTAATTCTTGGTATTTTCTAATTTATTATTCGTTAATACGGTCACACGTAAACACTTGTTCCTGCGCCCTTACTGTATTCCATTACCCTTGCCCTATGGCTTCTTTCACAGCTGTGCTCGATGAAGCTGCTTGATCCTTAATAATTTACTGCAAAATGAAACGAATTCGATACACATTCTTCCTCTACGATTATTCTAGAGGTTAACGGTTGATAGAACAGTAACATTTAATTAACGTTCGAAAGAAGTAAATATATATTCATCGATAAAATATTCATCACGCGTGTGACGCGATATCATAGGGTATAGGGTTAACGTTATCCACATCGATGTAACCGTTCTCAGTTTACTGAAACCTATTTAATAATATTAACAGTGTACACGTAATTAAGTATAGCCGACGCTTGCAACAAGCGTCGACAAAATAGATAATGAACGAATAAACGAAGATGAAAAGGAAGCTTTTAGCGGAACGTTGATTCGTGCTGTTTTAGAATTGTTTTCGAGTGATTCGTGAGTTCAGGTCATTGGTGACCACTACGGTGAACGTGTTAAAGAAAGCAGTAAAATCCTTGTAAAATAAAAACTTCGTTGTAACATATTTGCGTGTACGTCCGTGACAACGTCTCTGTCTTTTCCATTTTCGTTCGAACGTGTTGCATCTCTCTTCGTTTATCGTCTCGTTTCTAGTTTCCTCTGTGTGTTTCGTTTTATTTTATTTTTTCCTTGGGCGGCGATGTTAAAACACGCGAGCACGTGATCGATTTAACGAGGTAGCGTTGTAGAATAAGAGATCAGCTGGTGGCAGAACTTGTTAAACGATATTTACTGCACATAATATTTATTCGTTACTATCAATGTTCTTCTATCGATGTATGTGCGTGCGAACCGTGTACGGCGGGGCGGGCAATCGGGCTTCGGGTCGGGTCGAGTCGGGTCGAGTCGAGCGTTATGCTGCGTGCCCACACGAGAGCGATTATCGGGAGCAGAAATCGTCGAACGCTAGGCATGTGACAGACAAACACAAAAATGTCGGAAGATTGGATCCGCTCGGATATAAATTTTCGAATTTCGTAATCTTGAATTTATTCAGAATCATCAGGTACGTTTAAATGTTCGGACAAATACGAACAATTTTTGTTTAAGTTAAAGAAATTTGAAAATAGGAAAAGTGGTGATTTCACGAAAAGAAAATCAAAATGTATTTATACTCTGCATTAAAGAGAAGCTATTTGAAACAATTCAGTAAATTAAAAAGATAATCCTTCCCTGTAAACGAAAATGTAATATTTTGCATAAGTTTTAAAATATGGTTTCGCGTTGCAAAAGTATCGATGGATATTTGTTCTACAGAAACAAAAAATTATTTTCCTGTCGAATGCATAGTGTTCGACGATTTCGACGAACTGTGCGTCACCCGTGTTTACCACTAGAACTACTGTAACAGTGAAAATGACTGGTTCCAATTTTTTTGTTTTGAATATTCGAAATGATCTTGCAAATAAATAGTTTCATTTCAATATTATAATTGTCTGAAGAAACTGAAAATAATGTATTGTTATAATTTTTATAGGGATTACATATTAATCGTATCAAATGTTCGACAGTTCTAGTGTTAATTGAGAGCGGGCTTGCGAGAGTTATAGCCTCGAGGGTGGCGGCACTGCCGACGGATATTGGAGAACCGGTTTCAGCTGTGTGCCTACTAACGGCAGTTTCCACTTTTGGTACAGGTCGGTGGGAGGAACGAACTCGAGTGGAAATGTAGCTTTGACCTGTTCACAGGGTGACCTTTTGCACAAGAATATTGTAATTGTAATAAATACGAGCAACAGGGAATAACGACGATCAGAAATGATTTCTTTTAGAACTACAGAAATTGCAGTTCAATTATTCCAAAGAAAATAAGAAAAAGTAATTATAATTGAATTCGAAATCCCTTGAGTAAGGGGAGAATGTTTACGAATCATTTAACCCTTTACACTATGAGATCACCTGTGACGTGAACTTAAAATATTATTCTTTAGAATAAATGATAATAAACTAAATATTTGTATTTTTGTATTATGAACAGGCGTTTCGTTGATAATAGTCGAAATTTTAAATAAATGCAAACAATTTCTTTATATTCGTCATGAAATGGTAAGCGGAAAGATTGAATCAGACTTGAGAATAATCTAAAAAAACGATTATAGTGTAAAGGATTAATATAGATATATATGAAACATTGGATATTAGTATTCGGTGAGACAAATTTCAGATTTTATCTAATAAAATAAAATAAACTTTGATACTATTTTTACTCTAAATATATTCACTTCGTTAATACAGAAAATGAAATTCTCTTTAACCCTTTATAAATTGCACCAAGAAAATGTTACTTTGGGCAAAAGTTGTAACGCAATTCGATACAAAAGATTTCTAGGTAGGACGAACAAGAAAACTGAAAGTTAGTAAAAGATACGAAGGAAGAAGAATAACGAGCGTACTCGTCATCCTCAGTTGCCGCGTTAAGAATATTCTTTTCGACGTGACTCGAATGCCCGGTTCTCAAATGGCGATAGTGTAACGCTTCTTCGCATTGTAAAGGTTGGCGAATGAAATTCTAAGGGTTGCGAAAGAACGAGTATCGGCCGTTGTTTTTAAATGTCTTTGAATTGGAATATTTTACCGATAACCCGTCTGTGTAAAATATTTTCCTAAGCCACGTACGTCGTAAGAGTTTCGTTTTTGGTTGTACATAATACTGCATCATGTTATTATCATTAATATTATACTATTGCTGCTCTTACCGATAGATTACAAATAAACGTAAATGTCTTGCAGAGCTGGCTAACCTTTATTATCCTGTTCTTTCTCTTTCCATCGCCCCCCTTTCTTTTATTTATGTGTATTTCATTTATTGTGCGGGAAATGACTTTGTTATTCAATAAGTATTCAATAAAGCTATTATTTATTAAACACCTAATATACTGGTTACACTCAGCTTTGGTTTGGTTTATTAACACTTAGGCAACCGCTTAAAAAAATATAACTATAACCTTATTCGTTACCTGCAATTAAATTCACTCGACAGATTTAATTAAATATTGTGTCTCCAAAAACAAGAAAGGTATTTATTAACATATCCCCAGTTCAAGAGTTACTAAGTAACAAAAGAAAAGGTAATCAAAGTAAATGGCAACACGTAAACAGTAAAAATAAAAAATAAACGAATTAACACTAGAACTACCCAGTGTTTAATACGATTGATAATCCCTATAAAAATTATAACAAATTATTTTCAGTTTCCTCGGATATTCACTATAGTACTCAAGTGAAGCTATTTATTTTCAAGATCATTTCGAATATTCAATGCTGTTAAGACGTCAATTATTGCGAAACAAGAGAATCGAAACCATTCGTTTCGACTGTTACGTATTTTATTCCAGCGTCAAACGTTCCCCGGCATTACGAGACGAAATCCCGTCATTTTCATTCGACGCTGAAAATACGTTCTATCCGCCAGTCAATCGCACAACGGGTTTAAAACAGGAACTATCACGGTAAAGATTATCACTGCAGGCGTTCCGCGTTGTTCGAGTCACGGGGATGCCTCCGTCAACGGAGGTCCCAGACGGACAGTCTCGGGGTGAAACACGGAAAATGCAAGATTTAAAAGAGATTTCCGTGAAATTGGAATTGATTGTTCAAGCGGGACAGCCGGGGGTGAGCTTCGGGGCTGGTACAAGACGGAGGTTGAATTCTGTCGAAGACTCCGCGATCCGGCGGGGCGAGGGGAGGAGGACACAGGGGGAGAGGGCGTAGAAAACGCCGAAATAGACAAATAGATAGCGGTGTACCTTGGAGAGAATCAAACAGGTGGCGCGTGGAGCCGGAAGAAAACGAGCTACGCCCGGCGCGGAGGGGAACGAGCGAAAACGGAAGAGGGAAACGATTTGCGAAAATGTCCGAGGAGACACGTCGCTCGTGCAAATGCAACGATTTATTTTCATTACGACATAATTAGGAGCCGGAGCCGCGATCCGATGTCCCTGCCGTGTTCCCGTCTCCTTGAACACCGACACCCTCGCACGTAGACGGTCTTCGGTGAATTTGGTCTCACGAGTTTCACGGAGACGCCGCTGGACGAACTGATGGAACGTAAAGACTTTCTTGGACGTAAAGGAATCGTGTGCAACGGATTAACCCCTTGACGTACAGGACATTGATCGAAGAATTAGGACAAGGAAAGGCATCGATCATATTTAAAAAATTATGAAACGTGTCTAAGTAGAGTGAGTTCGATGCATTGCTATTTTTTTCTCGTGCTGAGTTTCACGTTAAAGGGTTACCACCCCTTGCCATGGTGGAAATGCAAATTTTCTTTATCGTGGATTATCTTACGTAAAATTGCAGAATAAAGTTTCTTAAAATTTTGACGTTGAACATGATTGATTTGAAAATTTAAAAGGGAATTTTGTGTGTTTTAAAAATGCTGTTTAACTCGTAATTATCGATGTTGACCATGGGGGTAAGGTAATTTCAGAGTTAATGGATAAGTTTTGATTAGAATAAGTATTGTTGACTTGTTTGTTTTACTATCGTTTATAAAAAAGATGTGTTGATTATATTTAAATTGGATTATTTACATTTGGACGTATGAATTACGTTAATTATACATTATGAAAAATGATGTGCGATATCTTTTGAAATAATTGTCTGGAATGCTAGCAGAATTGACATTCCAAGTTAAATCCAAATGTCCATTACCTAAACCTAACAATTTCATTATTCATCATTTGTAATGTACATATAATTTCATATATTCCATTATTTCTATGTGCATTTCACGTTGTTAAAGGAACTTGCAGTGTAGAGTATAAAAAAATTGATTTTTTCCATACCTTTTCAATTTCTGTTTTATTGCGAATGTACTAACAAAACAATTCTATATTATTTGCAAAATTATGAATATTCTAGAGGTTTATAGGATTTAACGTTATTGTACGTTAGCACTCTTGCTATAATAAAATTGTTTTCTTATCACCTCCACGTTAATGCAAATAAATTCCATAGAAATTTCGTAAAATAAAATTCAAAATTTTTAGAATACAAATATAAATATTCTCAGTTTTATTTTACAAAATTTCTATGGAATTTATTTGCTTCCATCGACGCAAAACAATCGAGTGTGTTTTGAACATGCTTTTGAATTTGGTAACGAACTATGTAACAGAGAAGTACGCTTGTACGCAGGAAAAGTTATAAAATCAATCTTCCAGCGTAATCGTTATACAATGAAAACCGATACTGGTTTTGCACATGGAAAACCACCGTTAAAAGGTAAGTTACTGGAAATCATTAGACCGATTCACTATCATTTGATATTTGGTAAATCGTTAGACCTGTGGTTCGATGCATCCGTGTCGATCGAGTTAAATGCGTAAACCCATCAACATGGATTTTTCTCTGAATCATTTATATTGTCGAAAAATGTGGTTGATATGACAATCTATTTCATAATGTAAACATTTAATAAAGAATTTATTTCAGTAGTGAAATAATGCAAGAGATGGAAGTACGTATTGGGTCGTAACAGAAATACGTTTAAATATGTTCAACATTTTTTTGAAATTATCAGTTTCATCTTCTAGCTTCTTGTTTATCACAAACATTACACATTCTTAATAAGTCATAATTAAATTCTTAGAATTAAAACGTCTTCATACGTGTAACTGTACGTATTAATACTAATACTATAATACTAATACTAACATACTAATGCAACTAATACATATTAACTATTAACTTTTACTGAGAAGAAAGGACACTTAGCAATCTAGTTTCGTTTAACAGGAAATATTTTTATACTATACGTATAACACAGTAAAATTGTGTGTAGAATTTTTAAGGCGTTTCTACTGAAAAGTAATTCTTTAACCCTGTTTCAAGGACACTTAAAAATTACTTATTTTATGGATTCGTAATTTTAGATATACAAGTAGAAAATCAATCACTATAATAAGAACAAAAAATTATTTACAAGTTCAAAAATACTGATTCTTCGGTACACGTTCATTACAGCTTTTCCAAAAGTGATCTAATCACAAAGGTTTAAAAAATTGATTTACATTTTCTAACTCTCTATTCGTACACAATCGATTATTTCCGTAATTATCACGAAAAACTGTTTCAAATAGTAGTTATTCGAAACGATACGAGACATTTGGCTGTTTCGATTTTAAATCCTCATTCAAACAGATCGCGAGTTCAATGGAATTTTAAAAACAAAACCACGTATTTTCATTAAATTTATGTTTTCCAAAATACACAGTATATAAATAACACACAATGTACCACCGGAACAAAATGATTCGACGCTCGTAGCTTAGCGTCACACTTTCTTCCGCGTTACGAACAGTACACTTTTTCATAGATCGAAATTGGAAGGGGCTGAAGCGAACAATGGGGAGGGAGGGATATACATTACCAGTGGGCAGCTAGAGGATTTTCGTGTGTCCCGGAAGCTCGTGCACAGATTCGACCGGGGGCCACCGTGGTAAGAGAAAAGCCATGAAAGGGGAGAGAAAGAGGGAAAGAGAGAGGGGAAAACAGAAAGCCCACGGGAGCCGAATTTGCATCCGGCAAAGCAACCTCAGACTACTTTATTTGATTGGCTGCCCACCGGGTTACTTTCAACCCCAACACGGACAAGTCCACGCGAAAGTACATTTCCGTATCTCCCTTCTCGCTTTCATTCAACCGTTTCTTCTCGTCGATCC